AAACCATCGATCGATTAGTGTTGATTTTAACTTAGGCGCATGTCTGAAGTAAATGACGTTGCTTCCAGTGATCATTTGAGAATCGTTAATCTATTTCATCATATAATTCTTTGAATTTCCCTTATCATGTTATATATCAACTTTATGCTTGCAGTTGTTATGCTTGTAGTAATCTAATCTCCCTTCCTTTTACTATTACAAAGAGCGTTAATCAAAGGCGATGGAATGTGTCAATATCATAATATACTGAAAAAAATTGTTCTTATATTATTCAAATATATTAAAGGAAATGGATTATCAGAAAGAAACCACTTGAAGGTTTTCAACTCAAAATTTCCAGAAATGAATTACATTTATAATTTTGACATTTTATTCAGACTTTAAATCAGGCCGACAAAAATTATTAATCCATCGTTAAGTCGAAATTCAATTAAAACAAAAATCAAATAGCAATTGTTCTCGCTTGCGTATACCGTTTATATTTCTAGGGAGAACCAGTTATTTCCAAGTATTGGTTTGTAGGGATTTTGTTCGATTGCATGGAGAATTTCGTCATAAGCCGACATCAGTTAGAGAACCATCGGAAAACCTGCAGGGAGTACTGGACAGCTATTTCGTCCTAGTTTGGGACTCTTCATTAGTAAGCACCCACCGCCAAGGTTCGAACCCACGACCTTCTGGTTACAAGGCCAACGAGCTTGTAGACCATTGGAGCCACTGGGACCCAATCCAATGGTTCTTGAATTCTAACTTCTGCCAATTCACGACATAACGCAAGGTCTTCTTTGACGAGTTACTGCCTCATCTTCAACCTGTTGTACCCTACTTGTCACGGCTTCCCACTAGAACCCCAGGTTAACTGTCTAAATCGGATTGGGTGCCAGTGGCTCAATGGTCTACGAGCTTGCCTTGTAACCAGAAGGTCCTGGTTTTGAACCCTGGCGATGGGTGCGTACTGATGAAGAGTCCAAAACCAGGACGAAGCAGCTCTCCATCTCCAGTACTCAGAGGTTTTCCAGTGGTTCTCTTACTGACGTCAGCTCATGATGAAATCCTTCATAGAATTAGTTATTCTTATTCTGCTTAAATGAGGTGTCTGAAAGAATGCTTCGGTTTTGTTAGTATTTCTAACTTGAATTTACCCTTATCACAGTGGTTTGTGATAGGATTAATGACAAAGTTTTCTGACTATTTAGGTGTCATCAGTTGAGTGTCAAAACACTGCAGATCATTTCAGTGTCCAAGTAGTACTGGGAGGTTAAAAGTATGAGTAAATGTTTTCAAAGTGTTCTCGCTACATGAGAGACGCTTTCGTAACTCAGTAGCTTAGTTCATGAACCTTTAGTGCTAGAAAAATTGGCAAACGAGTTCAACTGTCAGTAGGAACACTATCACTCAGTAGAATGTAGTAAACCCAATTGGTAGTAGAATGGAAAAACTAGGTTCTAGAGCTCACCGATCACCATTGTCAAACATTTCACTTCATTTTGGGAGAGATGAAAAAATATTGATCAAATGCAGCTTAGCACTAGTATGAACAGATGAATCAAATAACTAATAAAACCATTCGTAATTTCTAATGGAACGATTCTGTCTAAACGCAAGCTAATTAGAAGGTATTCGCAACAACCCTAAACGACTGTAGAAGAAGGCATAAGAAATAAGAAAGCAGACAGTAATATATGATTATGGTCAACGAATAAGGTTCGTTATGGGTGTTGCACACTTATGAGGTGTGTAACACAGACGACAGTGAAATAGAGACCAAGCTGGAAATTAAATACCTAGGCCTTATTCTATCTGCTGATCTCTCCTGGTCGTCTCATATCTCGATGATTTCTGAGAAAATATTCCGTCTTACCTTCTACATCAAGAAGTTGAGACATTCTGGAATAACCCAACCCTTACTCCTACAATTCGTTAATTCTCGCATTCTGTCTATTATTCTCTATTGTTTCCCCTTAGCTTTTCCAGGGCTGGCTACTGAAGAAAGGCTATACCTTATTACGTAAGATGTTAAAGGTTGTCAGCAGGGTAAGCTACGTGCCACTTAACCAGCTTGTTAATATTCTGGTTTACAGGCACATGCACTCATGTGAAAAATGGGCAAAATCCATTTTATCTGACTCACAACACCCTCTTCATTCACAAGTCTCCCCTTGTATCTATCTCATCAGCCAAAACCAGAAGCCAATACAGAAAACTATATGCTCGCACTAGCAAGTACAAAAACTCAACCATACCCTACTTAGCTCGTGTTCTGTGCGATAAAGAAAGCATTAGACGTGATACCTATAACTTATTAAATAGTCAGTAGAACAACTGGATCTCGTCTTTCCAACTCATATCATTTATAGGTACAACGTTTTGCTTTCTTTCTTTTCCTTTTCTCTCTATCTTTTTTGTTTTTGTTATGAGCTGTTTTGTTTCTCTCTTCCTTACAAACTCTATTTAAAACATTCTTTTTCAGTATATCTCGACCTTTTTGTTACCGCTTACGCCAGTAAATATGTTAGTATGTACTTTTCTAACACCTTCTAACACTCTGTTCAGTTTTGGCTTTGTTACCGACACGCTAATATGTTGTTGTCAAAAACTAACTGAGATTACCCATAATAAAAGTTATTCAGTTGCTGAAAGATTTGAGAAAGTTTTCTAAAATAAAAAAGAGAGGAAATAGTTTTAAATTTAAGACAAAACAAAGTGAATGTCAGTCAAATGAAGAAGAAATATGGTCACAAAATATGGAAATTAATGAATATACATATATGCACAGTTAAATGTTTCATTTAAAAAATACTTATTATCTTATTTAAACAAGCATTTAGTTAACTTTAATTTAGATTTCTCTATTCAATGTCAACCAGCCAATCATAGCATGTGTTCAAAATGTTTATATTGATATATCATTTGTTTAAACTTTTACAGAACAAGGAATGAAGTACAAAAACACATCCAATCATACAGAAATATTCATTTGTCAAACTTTATTTATTTATCAATTTGTCAAAAAAATTTATTGTCTTTATTTCAATTAGTAAATAAATTTACTTCATTTAATCGTAGTTATTGTTTGCGTCGGTGGCACAATGGTTAGGACTCTCGCTGACCATGCAAATGGTCCGGAGTTCGACCCGCTGCCGACGCACATCTGATATCTATGGTCAGCCTGCAAAATTTGGGTTACCGATATCAAATGCTGAAAATTCCATAGTTCTACCAAAAAGTACTGTGTGGAATCAAGCTGTAATCAAAAATGAATAAATTATCTATGTAGAATTGTATTTATTGTTAATGTACAAGCTGGATGCAATACCGTAGTGAAATGCTGAGAATTCCATTCTGTATCACAAGTACTGTTTTGGAATAAAGCAAATTATTATTATTATTAAATGCTCTTTGAAACTAATGAAGCCTTAAAAATGTTTCAGGAGAAAGGCGACCGTCTGTCTTCTAATAAATGTAAACTAGCTAGTGTATCAGAATCTCAGTTAGTTCCATTAGACTGGTTAGAAGAGAGTTGCAATCTCCAGTGACACAAACAAGTGCTATCTGACAGGAATAAATACTACGACTCTGAGAGAAAATAAGTGTGTATTTTGTATGCTGCTTGCTCCCCCCCCCCCGCCCCGAAATCAGTATATTCACAAAATTCAATTCACGATCAGGTCCTTTGCCATTAAGAAAGACATGAATGTCAATTAACTGACCAAAGCATAAAATGTTGCAGAATTTAGATGGTGAGCAAGTATGGTAAATTTTTACTCTCTTAATGTACATTTTCCTGAAGGGTATTTACATATCTTTTCTACCATCCATAAAAAATTTAGCTTCCTGATGAAGAGTATCGTCCTAAAATGATTCACAAGAAATGCAGAATATTAACACTTTTAGTTAAGATCCAATAACAACAGCAGCAACATACAGCCAGCGCCAATCACCATCAACGGGAGGGATTTAAAAGAGGTTACTTCATTCATTCACCTATCTAGGGAGCATTGTCTCGACTACAGGCAGTAGTAGGAACGGACGAGGATGTCAAATCGAGCGAGAATCGGGAAGGCGAGCGAGAAACACATTCATCAACCTGAAACAACCAATCTGGAAATCTTCGTCACTCAGCCAGTTTCAACAACAAAATTCAGTCGGCTTTTCAATACAAACGTCAAGTCAGTCAGTTCTTCTATACGGATCAGAAACTTGACGAGCGGGTCACAAAGAATATTTCCAACAGGCTATTACAGACCTTTATCAACCAACAACTGTCTTCTCTGCTTCTATACTGAAGATGAGATGGCCAAGCCGGAAAGAATCACCAACAAGAAACTATGGCTGGAAACAAACAAAACAAGAACCAATCGCCAACCAACAAATATACAGGAGATGGAGTGGAGATGGATTGGACACTCGTGGCTGAGGAGGCCACTGAGTGACATCGCGCGCGCGTCAGGCCATTGCTCAAGTGGAACCCGATAGAATGGGAAGCGGCGAGTGGGACGTCAGTGCACGGGTGGGTGACATGGAGGAGATCGCGTGAAGAGGAGTTGAAAGAGCATGGACTAACATGGATGCAGGTGAAAAGTACAGCAGAAGGAAGACAGAAGCAAGTGGAGATGTGGAGTTGAAGCCCTATGTTCCACCAGGAACCCAAGGGAACAATAGTAATAATAACATTCATTTGCATTATCAGATTTTGCCTAACTCGCATGTGAGCAACTACAGCTCCACTGCTTAAAAACTCCAACAAATCTGAATGGTGTGTAAAGCATCCGGAAAAATTTCTTCAACATCAACGTATTCACAAGTATCGAACGCCCATAAAGTTTCGAGAGACACGGCTTTGTTATCATCACTAATTTTTAATAACAACAAAACATTATCTCTGAGGTTTTATCTGTAGTGTTCAATAAACTATTAATTTCCAATATGTATATATATATATATATTTTATCAGATAAAATGATAACATAAAAGATAGAATTATACAGAATTGCTTTTTTTCACCACAAATCCCTTCGATTTGATCCATGAAAGTATCCTAATGTCTCCAGCCTCTGCTGTACACGTCTATGCAGTCGAACAGCCTAAAAGTAAACAACAACAAAAAGTCGATAGAAAAGACACTTGAAATAATCATCTAATTACATCAAAATTGGCTGAGTGAAGACCAAATCGAAGCGACCCGCACTTGATAGTAAATACCCATAAAGTGTCATGATGTTTTTTCTTATGTCTCAACCAAAGGCGAATATGAGCGAAATAGGACTTTTTATTTCTAACAGTTACAACTCTTTTTAGGCGTAAACTCTGTACATCTTTTGACTGATCTAATACTTTTGAATTAGTGTTAAGTATCATGATTCATTGACAGGATATCATACTTTTGGCGAAATAAACTCCTATATTAACGTGCCGATGCTATTATGCATCTTTTGAAACGTCGAAATTTGACTTGACAAAACTATATATATATATATATATATATATATATATATATATATATATATATATATATATATATATATATATATATATATATATATATATATTGATTACAGCTTGATTACACTCTGTATTTTTCGTACAAGTTAGGAATTTTCAGAATGGATATCGATAGCCCAAATTTTTGCAGGTCGATCATAGATATCAGGTGTGCGTCGGCAGGGGATCGAACCTCGGACCATGTGCATGGTCGGCAAGATTCCTAACCACTGTGCCACCGACGCAGGTGCGTAAGGTTTATTAGGGTAAGCATTAAATTATGCCTACAGGTGAAAAATGTTTGTTTTACAGCACCGAAATCCACTTACCGTATCCAAGCTTTTCTTTGCAATCAACATTTCTGACCGGATAGTATCATGTGTAGGAATGATAGGAAGTTTAAAACGTTCTAGAATGTCTTTTGTATGCTTATGAACTTGTTGTGTTAGTTGATTATCTCTTTCAAGGCTATGCAAAACATGAAAACAATATAAAAAAAGAAATAAAATTTTTATTAATGAAATTTAAATACTGATTTAATAAATCAAATTATCTTCGTTAACTGTTTATTACTTATTATATTAGCGCTAATTCATTCAAGATTCATTGGCCACTATTCACTGATAATTCCGCATGACAAAACTACTACTAAATAGGTCAAGCATACGGGTCATGTGTAGAACTGCTAAATCTTACATGTGAAATACTACAGGTAGGTTTTATTTTTAAAAACAGAAAATGACAAATATGTTAAGGTTTATTACTCATTTTTCAACTTCTCAAATAATCTTAGGTACATATTTCGCCCAATATTTACTTCACTGAAAAAAGAATGCTGATATAATTAAGACGAAATATCTATCAACGCATACAGCTACACTTTTTAGACGTGTATCTTCTACGCATTGAAATCGATTTTAAAATATTATACAAAGCAGTCACTAAAAAAATAGTGTGATCATGAAAGTTAGGCAATGATATCCGTTTCTCGTCAAGTACAACTATCAGTCAGTGTAACATGTAGCTGCCAATGTGTGTATAAATAAATAGATAATAGGAAATAAAATAGATATCAATCTTTCCTGTCTCTCCCTATATCTTTTTTATTCTCAAAAGGAAATGTTAAAAAAAAGAAAGAAAAGAAGACACAAAAAGCTAAAAATCAGTGAATTTCCGTGCATATACATATACATATATATATATATCAATTTTTGATATTATCAATCAGTGAAATGTCATGTAAATTAATTTTGTTTGTCCATTACAGATATTTTATGCAAATGAATCTCCAGGCTTAGTAATTGTGTTACGTTTAATTTTTTTTTAAAACTGTTTACTGGTTATGTATTTACGCACATATAATTATTTATCGATGTGTATATTATCGTTTAACCACCAGACTTTTAGATAAGTAACCAATGTATAATTAATGTTCTTTCTTTCCATTTTAATGAAGTATATACTCAACTGATATTTCTGAGTAATGAATAACCAGTTAACAACAGTCTTTCCTGATGAAATATTTGCTAAATTAATAATTACTACTATCTAATAAATAAGTAGATAACTTTTTAATACGAAAAACCCTCTGGTGACATTTGTAGATGGTTGTGAATAGATAAAATGTAGTAAATGTATTAAAATTTACTTTCAGGTAGCTACGGCGAGTTTTCGTCTGAAGTGGTGAAAACTGGTGGGATGCTCACTTTCCCCATTTCTGTTCAATTTCATTATAGATGTACTAATGGAATTAACCCTAACTCACTTCAGCGACTCAGGGATTGACTTGTTACCAGGGTATAATCTCACTGACTTAGAATATGCAAATGATACGGTCCTTCTAGATGAGAAGCTGACAAAATAGAACAGAGTCTTCAGAACATCTTGAGCTGCAATGTGCGAATGTTTGGCATGCGATTCGCTTTCACCAAATATAAGATGATGTTACGGGACTGGATAACATTGACTCCTAGCTTAAACATAGGGATTGAAGTGGTAGTGCGTGTTGACTACGTCACTTATTTGAAAAGTAGCATCAACCAAAGCCCGTTGGTTGATCACTGACGAAATCTCAGCACGCATAAAGAAGGCTTGCTTCGCATATGCCAATTTACTCTATCTCTAGAGTAGACGTGATATCCGGCCGGCTATCAACAGATCAGAATTCCGCTTCGTCCTCCTAAATGGCTGTGAGCGAGGCATGTCCATTGAGAGTGGAAGACATGAAAAGACTGGTAGTTAGCTGTCTTTGATAGTAGGTGCCTGCATTCTATCTCCCAAGTGAAGTGGTGGTATAATGGGGTGACCAATATTGAGATTAGGCGTCGAGTGCTAAGTAAGGAGGGGAAATCAATCGACGAGACTGTGAAGCTACATCGACTGAGATGGTTAGGACATGTGCTACGTATGTCTAGTCATCGCCTTCCTCGACGGTCAATGTTAGCTGACATAGGGTCAGACTGGAAAAGAGTTAACGGTGGTCAAACCAAAACATGGCACCAATCAATGAAATCCACAAAAGTTAATTTAAGCTGGCCATGTAGGAAGGGGTAGACTTCCTGGTTGGGGTCTTCAAGACGGTAAAAGCCGATGAAGGTTGAAGACAATCGGTGACATGGCTAAAAAGCGGTCTCAATGGCTGGCGCAGCTGTATCCACTCCGTGTGACTTATAATTTCCAACGAAACTATATTGTTCTTCGACATTATTATTATTCCTTTTGTCTCATATCCCTGTTTACTGTCTCTAATTTACATTTCTTCTACTTTCTTCTCTGGCTTTGAATGCTGAGTGAAGTGTGGTGACTTGAACTGCTGAACATCGATGCAAAATTCTATGTTGAAACCAATCAGTTAGTTCAGATAACTACATAAACTTAAGAGTAATTACAAACTAAGGTGTAGCGAATATAGTTTCACCTGAAAAAAGAAAGAAAGAATTATTCCCCAAAGAAGATGCAAAATCAGCTTGAACCATTGTAACTTCTTTTTAGATAATCCTTACAGCCTATTATGAACAGGTGGTAGTAAATGATAAAAATTTAGGTTTTTCCTAACACATCTGTTGATTTCTACTTAAAGCTACCTACTGCTAGAACACTATTTACATTTCAGTTTCAGGATAGGTTAAGCTACAGTCTAAGTAACATCGATCTGATAATCTAATTTTCATCACTTCCTTAACATAAACATTTCCCAATTGGTAGATGGTGACTAACAGTGGAATCCAGGATGCTTATTTCGCACTATTTGGGACTAGTCATCTGGATGTACCTGCATTCCGCAGTGAATAATGTTGTTCCCATACAGTCCCAAATAGGACGAAATGAGCATCCTGGATTCTACTGTTAGTCACCATCCATCAGTTGACTTCAAGTTACATGACCAAACATCATCGAAGCATCTGCACAAGAAGCCAACATGATAACCTGAGACCGAGCACTTCGCTCCAATCAATCGATAGGAAAATCTAAAAGTGAATAAAATAAACACTTCACAATATTCTCAAGAGTTGGTCTGAAAGGATGAAATTTATTTTTACGAGTTTGACCACGGATTGATATCAGTTACAGGACCAGTCAAGTGGGAGGATGGACTTCCCACCGATGGCATTGGTTGGTGGCCGCGCTAAATCACGAATTGGTAGAAGTCAGAATTCATGGACTGGCCATTGAGGAGTCCGGTCCCAGTGGCTAAATGGTATACGAGCCAGCTTGCTTTGTAACCGGAAGGTCCTGGGTTCGAACCCTGGTGACGGTTGCGTACTGCCGATGATCCCCAAACTAGGTGGAAACAGCTGTCCAGTACTCCCGGGTTTTCCAATGGTTCTCTAACCGATTTCCCAATATACTTATAATTTGCTATCAGCTGAGAGCCTGTTCTCCTCTTAAGAAATTTATATAATTAAACTATTTGCTTTTTGAGGCCGAATACATTTAATTGTAGTTGAGATTCAGTGAGTACTTTGGTAGTTCCATTCTTTTGCATAATAAATAAGACTTTAAGTGCCAATCTTCCTCAGGGAATTAAGCGTGTATTGCAGCTATCAAAGAAATTTACATGAAACCCATTGGACAAACTGATAATATCAAGCATATTTCCGCGAAGTTAATCCAATTCATTTAAATTATAGTCTACTTTGGTCAAATAATGACCAAAAGAAGAGTTATAAAGATTTTTAGCAAAAAATAATTATTTAGTTATTAAGTCAAGAATAGGCAAGTGCAGATTAACAAAATAAAACAATTTATCTACCTTGCCATTTCCAATTGGAATACAATGTTAGCATCCAAATTCATTGGTCGTTTCTTTCTAATTGGACGTTCACGTAGAACTCTTAATTCATTGTTATTGATCATTGATAACTGATCTCCTTGCACATCAAACGGTGCACCGAAAATTCTTCCGTCAGATTCTGTTCACAATTTAAATTTTTTTTAATATAGAAGAACAGTTTTTGTTTACTCTGAATTTCAACTGAAAATGACACTATTTCAGCTTTCTACGATTATATGAAAAGTTAGAATGAAAATCAGTTACATTTGAACAGTTTCACGGGTTTATATAGCGATTTCTTTGGGTCATAATAACTCTCGTATCTTACCTATTCTACTTTACTGCTCCCCATTAGTCATTCCTGGGTTACTGAAAAAGGACTATACCATGCTGAGAAGGATGTTGAAGGTAGTTAGTAGGACTAGCGGTGTAAAACTCAGTCAGCTCGTCACTACATTAGTAGATAAGCATCTGAATACATGCGAAATATGGTCTAAAACTCTACTCTCCGACCCCTAACACCCTCTCTATTCCCAACTCTCTCTCTCCTTGTATCTCATCATGTAGAACCAGAAATTAGTACAAAATAATATATGCTCGTACAACCAAGTATAGGAACTCAACGATACCATATTTGGCCCGTGTTCTCTAAGTGACATAGACAATGTTAAGCGCGAAACCCGTGACTTACTTGGTTGTTAATAACATAATTTCGGCTCTTTTATTTCTCTCTTATTTGTATTCTATAGTGAACACCCTCTTAAACATACTTAGCTACCTAAATTGTTAACATTGGCTTACTTTTTCTTGTGCTTTACTCTATTCGTTCTTTTGTGTATCTACTGGTTCCGACTATATTACCACTATGAGTATTACAAAATTGTCTTGTCATTAACCTTCATGTAATATTAGTTTTGTGGTTGTTTTTTGTTCGGTAATATTAACTGACAATCTTGGTTGCGAACGCCATTATCACCATCTTAAAAATTTTGTATTATGCATGATTACTCACACTACCAATTCAAACACCGCATTAGAGCTGACAATGTGAAAATCAACCTGAAATGTTTATTTTATGATTGTTTAGTGTTATTCAATCAAATTAACTGATGATCTTGGCGATAAACATTCTTAAGATCATTTCATAACTTCTTGTATGGTTAAAGCTTTTACTGTTCACCTAGCATAAACATATCATAGCTTCCACTACCCAATACTGCGATATTACTCATTATGTTGTTTATTTTCCAATCTACTTCTTGGTAATTTTTCGCATTTTTTTACTATTTTTGTGTTTTCTGTTGTTGTTTTTTATATTTATTTTTTTGAAATACTCCTTTTAAATGTTTGATAAAATTACATGCAATATTGTAGATAAAGTGTTGGAAATTCCACACTGTACCACTAGTAGTGTTTCTGGAATAAAGCAAATTATTATTATTATTATTATTATTAAGTATATTTGTAAACTGATATCCTCAGCAAATGCTTCAGAATTTTTTGACTTCCATTTCAGTATTGTCTGTCCAGTGGGATTGTTTTTAAAATTGAAAAAGTATTTTTCATTCTAATACTTATAAGCTTTGTGGGTTCTGAGACTGAGCCTCAATGGAACCATTATTATATACTGAATTCATACAAAACTGATTGATTATTTTTAAATGCAGCGAAATAATACCTCTGAATTTTATTGGTTGCCACTAACAACCAAATGCCCGGCCGATAACTGCTACCTTGTCGTGGTGGTCGGGCTTGAATACCGCAATGACCCAACAAGCTGAACTGACTGGGACTCTGTCTCTACAGGTCCTACCATGTCAGGAAGGTTTTCTGGATAGCGGTTAAACTAAAAGCAGTTACCATGGGGTACATGGGCTCCAGTTTCCAATCGGATCAAATGGCGTATGAACCCACATGGGTCACCGGCAACCATGGGAATGCAGCTCCTGACGCTGCTCCGCTGCCTTGCGGATTAGACTCCAAGTCAAAGGCTCGGGGGTGGTCCCTTAATAAAACCACCTGCTTCGGTCTGGGCGCCCGGGCAGTATCTCAGCCCGCACACAATGAATGAATTAAAGCAACGAACTCCCATTGAAACTCAACGCGCGCTAGTAAAATGATTCCAAGCAATATTGATCCCTCAAGGAACTTATTTCCTTCCTACCCTACTTTTATTTTTATACATAGTTTCCTGTATTGTACCTTTTCTAACCTTGGCTTCTTAACCTTCGACAGCCTTTCGCCTTTGTCGAGATTCCCAGCCTATCCGTGTCGTTTCGAGATGTTAGTGAGTAGTCCTCAAAATGGTTGTTCCCAATGTGACATCTAACACGGATATCCTGAAACCGCGTGCTGCGTTCAAGCTGGCTACCTACAATGTTCGGACGCTGATGCAAATCGGACAACAGGCAGGGTTGGCAAGAACTTTGGAAAGCCTCGCTATCGATGTCTGCTGCATTTCGGAGACCCGCATTCAAGATCCCAGTGAAGTGCTTCGACTATCCTCTCCATCTGGAAGTTCTAGTAGTATGTACCACCTGCGCTTATCCGGGGACCCTGTGGCGTCGGCATCCGGCGTAGCTGGTGTCGGTGTCGCACTGAGCGCTAGAGCCGAAGCTGCACTGCTCGACTGGATTCCCATTAACAGTCGTTTATGTGCTGTGAGGCTGGAAGGTTATACGAAAGTAAAGAGTAGTAGGCCAGATAGGCGGTGTCTATTTGTTGTCTCTGCCTATGCACCGACGGATTGCAGCCCGGATGCAATGAAGGATGAGTTTTACTACCAACTGAGCGATCTCTTGAAACAGGCGGGTCGGAGGGATATCGTAGTGCTGGCTGGGGACTTGAATGCACAGGTGGGGCGTCTAAGCTCAGAGGAGAATCGTCTAGGTGGTCAGTGGGGACTACATGGTCGCAGGTCAGATAATGGGGACCGTCTTCTGCAGCTTTGCGCGGATCACAACCTATTTCTAGCTAGCACCAACTTCCGGCACAGCCATCGCCGTAGCGCTACCTGGCGTCCTCCCTCTGCGAAGCAAGCTTGGACTCAGATTGATCATATCGCGGTCAGTTTCCGGTGGCGAGGATGCATACAAGACTGTCGCTCCTTCTGGAGCACATGCCTGGACTCCGATCATGCGTTAGTGTGTGCCAAGTTCGTCTTGCGATTTGGTGGGGTTCGTAAAAGCCGTCGTCTAAGCGTTGATGTGAGCAAACTAGTAGCACCTGCTACTTCTTTGAAATATCAGAATGAGTTAAAAACAATGCTTGCCAGCAACCCCCCAAGTAGTATAGATGAACATTGGCTTCATGTGCAAGGTGCCATGCAAAAGGCGAGTGTAGCCGCTTGCGGCTTGAAAGAATGCTCCGCTAACAACCACTGGGTTTCTGCGAGTTCCTTGCAACTCATGGATGAACGCCGGTCCATTCCGGCTGGCAGCGAATACAACAATCAGCGAAAGGCGCTCACGCGCAAGATTAGACAGTGTTTACGTAAGGACCGCGAAGCCTGGTGGTCAGAACGTGCGTGTGAGATGGAGTCAGCTGCTGCATCTGGCAACAGTCGGAAGCTGTTCCAACTCATACGAGCCACCGGCAGCAAGAAACAAGGTGTCAGCGAGACGGTCTGTGAGGCAGATGGCACTCCAATTACCAGCCTGAAAAGACGCCTGGAACGCTGGGCAGAGCACTTCGGGAAGCAGTTCAGCTGGCCACCAGCTTCAGTGTCTACTATCATTAGCCCGAGTGCTCCTTGGTCGGTTAGTACCGACCCACCCACCGAAGCGGAGGTCCGTAAGGAACTCCAAGTTCTGAAACGCCATAAGGCGCCCGGCCCAGACAAATTACCCCCGGCTCTTTTTAAAGATGGTGGCGAGACTCTCACAATGGCTCTAACTGGGTTGTTCAGGAAGGTGTGGGAGACAGAGAGTGTACCATCAATGTGGAACGAAGCCATTATCGTCCCCATCTTTAAAAAGGGTCGACGTAATTCGTGTGACAATCATAGGGGTATCAGTCTGTTACCAGTCGCGTCTAAAATATTGGCTGCTGTCTTGCTTCGCAGACTGTGCAAAATACGTGAAGGATTGATTCGCGAAGAGCAGGCTGGGTTTCGTTCAGGTCGTGGATGCATTGATCATGTGTTCACCCTTCGTCAGTTGTTGGAACACCGCCACACGTATTGCAGGCCAACGATCGTTGTGTTTCTTGATATTAGGGCTGCCTTCGATTCGTTGGACAGAACTGTGCTCTGGAACTGTCTGTTAGAGAGAGGTGTACCTGAGAAATTTGTTAACATCCTGAAAGCCCTATACAGAAACACCTCAGGTAGAGTGAGGGCATACAACCAACTATCACCACTGTTCCCAACCAACAGTGGGGTTAGACAGGGTTGCCCAATCTCTCCATTTCTCTTTAACTTTGCCATCGATGACATTCTGGAGTCAGCTCTGAAGGATGTGCGTGAAGGTGGTGTAGATCTGCTACCTGGAGATAGACTTTTCGACCTCGAGTATGCAGACGATATCGTCTTACTGTGCGATAGCATGCAGGCTGCCCAAATCGCACTTAATCAGTTGGCGATCAGTGTCTGTAAGTATGGTATGTGCTTTGCGCCGTCTAAGTGCAAAGTACTGTTACAAGATTGGCAGGAGCCTGTACCTGCACTCACTCTTGCGGGTGAACCGCTTGAAGTTGTTGATAAGTTTGTGTACCTGGGTAGTTGTGTGAGTGCTGGCGGAGGGGTGACGGATGAGATTTCCAACCGTATAATGAAGGCTAGGGTGGCATACATCAACTTGAGCCACCTATGGCGCCGTCGCGACGTTAGCCTGGCTGTCAAAGGTCGGGTATACAATGCTTCGGTGCGGGCTGCGCTGCTCTACGCCTGTGAAACCTGGCCTCTCCGAGCTGAGGATGTGCGGCGACTCTGCGTGTTCGATCACCGCTGTCTCCGCAGGATTGCTTGCGTTCGATGGCATCATCGCGTGAGTAATTCTGAGGTTCGGCGGCGTGTGTTTGAACAAAGTGGAGATCACCATTCATTGAATGTCGTCATCTGGAAACACCGGCTCCGGTGGCTTGGACATGTGCTCCGAATGTCACCCCAGAGGCTTCCGTACAGGTCTCTGTTCGCTAGCCCTGGGACGGGATGGAAAAGGCGGAGAGGTGGTCAGTCCATGACGTGGCGTCGTGGGATGAAGGATTTTTGTGCTAGATTAGCATCGGTTGGTGTGTCACGACTCCCTGGTTGGGGTCCGAGAGATAGCTCAAATCGATGGCTCGAAACGTTATCGGATATGGCCAAGAATCGTAATCAGTGGCGAATGTGTTGCGATTTCCTTCTTTCTTCCCTTCCCGATGATAGCTAACGAACACTGTTTGAACTTGTTAAGCATGACTGTTTTCCTTCCAGATGAAGTTCTTTATCCGTTCTCTACTTATATATATTTTTTCTTTTCCTTCCTTTTTTTTTGATCTATGTTGTTTTATTATTATTGTGTGGCGCATCTTTCTTGGTGCCATATTGTACCAAGTTTTTTATGCGTTTAAATAAATAAATAAATAACAACCAAATGATATCAACATCATCCAGATGGCGAACTAAAATACAGGTATCTTTATTTACAAAAATGATTTATATTCACCTAAAATAATAAGTATGGAATTTATGCCTGTTTTTTGTAAAGTGAATGTACTTTACTACGACTATGTAAAGATCAGTAAAATTCGAGCAATTTTAACCTCGAAGCAAAGCAGTAGTCTATCATGAGTAGACTACAACTGTAGGGTCGTCTCCTTGATCTCTGTAATAACTGACTTAGGATCACAGGTAATACCAGTGAAGCTTCTTCTGATCACTCCATTATAGATAAGATTTTATTTTGATAAATCACACAGTGTTGTGCAGTAATATTAACTGATGACGTTTCGAGCACAAACTATTGCCACTCATAATCATATCAAGTTACTCACACAACTTTTTTCTTTCATTTATATACATGTATGGAATTGATTAGACATTGGAATGTCTGTCTGTTTTCGACACAGAACTTTGCACAAATGTGCGGAAGTTCAAGTTGCCACACTCCGTGTAGCACGCGAAGCAAGAGAAGAAAGTACAAGAAAAGCATAATAGAAACAGTGAGCAGAGGTGTGAGACAAAGGAGTAATAAAGAAAAACAAAACAGTTTCATTGGAGATCATAAGTCACAAGGAGTGAATGCATCTGCACCACTGAGAACGATTTTGAGCCATGTCACCAATTGTTTCCAACCATAGATTTTTACCGTCCCGAGGACCCCAGCCTGGAAGTCTACACCTTCCTACGTGGCTTAGACCAACTGTTGTGGATTTCATTGACTGGTGCCAATATTGGAATAAAAATCAATATGAGATAATGTACATTCAGAAATAATAGTATGAGTGTTATTGATAAATTACAATTAGATGGGAAATAAGACGAGCGTTTCCATAGTCAAAATAAGTAACTTGTTAGGATGTTATGATGTGCTTGAACTGAAATCGAATTTTGAGATTATTTATTATCCTCCTCTGATTTGACTGACTGGTGGTAATAATATCTTCCATATTTCTGGTATTTGCATTGAGTCATTTCTGTTGCATGTGTTGGGTGTAGACTCGATGAATAGGGATTCCGTAATCAACCTCTCTCTCCACCTACCTAGATTACTTTTTGGAATTCTAACCCTATCCCACCCTATTGTGTGGTTGTTTGTTAGTCCGTGAAGTGCAATAGCTGAGCTTTTTTCTAAATTACTTATCTTTTCAGGGTCAACCATTCTTACTTCAAGTAAATTCTTATTTTCTGATAATCTGACTACCCCCGACCTACTAGTCTGACCTATGTAGTTGACCTCACAGTCATTGCAGGGTATTTTGTAAATTATATTATTTTGTCTAACTGGGTCAACTGGGTACTTTAACCTACAGAGCTTGTCCCTGAGTGAGTTTGTAGGTTTGAATGCTGCCACCCTAATTCCTGCTTTATTAAGAATCCTACATAGGGACTCAGATGTCCCCTCCTTATATGGTATAACAGCGGATGACTTATATTCTCTCTCATTTATGTTATCATTACTAGTTCCACAATTATTTTTATTTCGCTTTTGCCCTTTACTGATCTTCCTAACGAATTTTATAGGATAGCTATTTAACACCAAAATACGAGCTCGCCTTGTAACCAGAAGGTCCTGGCTTCGAATCCCGGTGGGTGCGTACTGATGAGGAGTCCCAAACTAGGACGAAACGGCTGTCCAGTACTCCCAGGTTTTCCAGTGGTTCTCTAACTGACGTCAGCTCATGATTAAATCCTCCATGCAATCAAACAAAATCCCTACAAAAACCAATACTTGTTTTGTTTTTGACAGTCTGTTATATTTTGCTATGTGTATATGGATCGATATTTCATTATAACTGACAATATGCTTTTGTCTGTCCACTAACTAAATAAACATGTATGACCTTGTTGTCACATGACATTACAACCAATCATGTCAAGCCTGTCTATTTATTGGTTCATGTGTACTAGTCATTTTCATATTTACTTTTGTACTGTATACTTGTTCATATATACTTGTTCCCACGTTTCGTACACTACGTACCATTTTCGCTCACACTCTTGTGTGACATTTATTTCCCTTATCTGGAAAATACAAATATCATCGTAAACCTGGTGGTCTTCTGATTTCCCTCTTTCCGCGTCAGGATTACTCTAACTACTCGACAAGTACATAACAGAAATGAAACAATTTGAATGAGTATCTGTTTTTGTGGGATGTTCGTTTCTGCTGATTTCACTCTAATTGTTACTAACTTTTAACTTTATTTTCTAGTAAAAGAATCGAAATGAAACAATAATTATTAATAGCATCATGAATATTGATGACCAACTTACCTTGTTTTATTTCTTTATGTGATTTTGTTAAGTATTCATGTAATTTTTGTTTCTGGTATTCCTTGTAGTCATCTCGCCAATCGGAAATACGCATAGCGTCTCTAAAAGTAAATCAATAATTTAGGCGGTTAAAATGATTCAGGTCTTAACAAATCACAGATTTGCTTTACTTGACGACAGCGTTTCATATGCCCTACAAAAGTGCGATGATATGAAGTAACTGTTGGGATGAAAATCACTTTTACGGTGATTACATTCGTCCGTTGCGGTGTAAGTTACACTTGTTAATGAAATCAATATTTTAGTGGGTAAAGTACGACAGATTAAACAAAGTTAAAACCTGTGACTTAGTGATTCAAATCTCAGTGCTCCATTCACTGAACTGCACTGAATGGCTTGTCAACTTTTAAAATATTCATATGAATAACAAACAGTACTGGTTAGTAAATTTCATTTTTCCTTTCTTTCAAATTTAACCACACAATCAAGAAAGTTAAATTAAAACGAAATGGTGATTAACAGCAAACTGAAATAAGAAACACTATGTATGTTACTGGTGCCGCTGACAATACATCTCATCCAACAGTTGTACGACAATGCTGCATGCCAAGTAATCCACAACAGGATACTTACGGAATCCTTCGAAGGGAGGACGGGAGTAAGGCAAGGTTGCCTACTGTCACCAATGATTTTCCTGATTGCAGTAGATTTGATAATGAGACAAACAGCGGGAAATGGGGAAACAGGTATAAAATGGACCCACACAAAATACTTGGAGGATCTGATCTTCACCAATGATATATGTCTGATTTCCCACAAACTGGAAGATATGCAAGTGAAAAGAAACAAGTTGGCAGAAGAAGCATCAAAGATAGGACTTCTAGTGAACATAAATAAAACAGAGGTGATGAAGATTCCTGGCCAACACCGACAGCGACAACAACAACAGACAACAAACAACATAAATGGGAGGAACCTGAAATGAACAAAGTCCTTTACCTACCGACCTGGGAAGTATCGTTTCAACTACAGGCGGACAGAACTGACGAGGATATCAAAGCAAGAATCGGAAGAGCAAGAAAAGCTTTCATTACTCTTAAGTCTGTGTGGAGGTCAACAGAACTCAGTATGAAAAATAAGATCCGGATTTTCAGCTCCAATGTAAGGTCAGTGCTACTATACAGATCAGAGACCTGGAGCGTCAGGAAGAGCACCTCCAGCAAACTAAAGACCTCGATCAACAGATGCCTTCGCTCAATACTGAAGATCAGATGGCCGGCCAGGAATGATCAGCAACAGGAAACTCTGGCAATGAGCGGACCAACACAGCAGGAACCGAGGGTGCAAAAAATATGCAGGAAGAAATGGAGGTGGATTGGCCACACTCTGAGAAAACCATCAAGTGAAATAATTAGACAAGCCCTCGAGTGGAACCTGAAAGGGAAACGGCGAGTTGGTCGTCAGTGGGAGGGTGACTTGGAGGAGGTCATGTGAAGAGGAGATGGAAGCACGTGGGCAGACGTAAAGTCAAGTGAAAACTTTAGCAGAGAACCGAAGGCAATGGAGACGTGCAGCTGAAGCCCTATATTCCTCTAGGAATTAAAGGAAATTATGATGTATGTTGCTTAAACGTGACCGTTTTTCCATACACTGTGCATATAATGTGTCATTTCGTCGTTACAAATGTCAGCTAAAACAATTCACGTAAGCAGAAGACTGTATTATTTCACTGTGGTTGTCTAGAAAGACAACTAGGATTTTGCAGTCAAGCCATCCAGCTCAAAGAACTCAACGGAGAAAGCATTCACCTGAGCTACAAATCTTCTTCATCATTTAGAAAACTAAAATCACTATCCATTCAGAAAGAAGATAGAGATATCAGGTTTTAGTCAAAAATATACACAGAAAATGTCAGCACTATGATGAGTGAATTTCGTTATAACAAATAGTTTCTATTAAAATGTGTATCTTTTGGATGACTTATTCTACAACTGCACAGCAGATTCCTTACTTCTCAAAATATATCACTTCAGGTTCAGAAACACATCTCGTTTCCTTAAAAGAAAAGCCGAATAACAAATAAGATAAGATATTTCACGAGTGATTTAAACCCAAACTATAGTTGTAAACAGTATAAGACTGTCGTACTTCGATATCAGCTGCTGGTCGTTGCTGTCTGATCCAAACATATCTAAGGAAATTTCTAGTTCAAAAGGTAAAAGAATTAGACTTGTCACTGAATCTTGTGTTGTGAACACAAGTTTGATAATTCAATCTACTTCCAGGCAATGACTCGCTTCAAAGTATTACAGATGAAATGACAGCAGTTAGATAACAAGAATCAATTATCTTTTAACACGGGGACTGAATCACGACACGCTCACTATGAAAACTAATGGTTCTGACGTTGTTGGCACACCTTGAAATCGTAGTCTCCACTGTTGAAGAGTCCAAAAGTAAGAGAAAACATACCGATTTCTCTACAGTCCTTTATTTTTATAATCAGTATCTAGATGTAATACAAGCCACTGCGATAATAAAACTTCTGCTTTATTATTTTTATTTTGAAATTTAAGGAAAAACAATATTACATAGAGATAACAAAACATCAGTAAAAAGCTTGAGCATTGTGGATTAGATCAAATAAAGTATAATTATATTTTAATAGTTTACACACAATGATAAGTTTTGTTATTGGTAATATTTCGAGCAAAATTACTGCCCGTGTTCACACCACTGTTGGAATTGTTTTATTCCTATTAAAATATAATTATACTTTATTAGATAACAAAACACTTATAAAGTTTCCTAACAACTTTAGTAACTTCAAGCTCTTCTATAATTAGCTTACTTCAAACGTTGTAACGATGCATCCTGTTTCAACAACAGCTCTTTACGAGCTCTTTTTCTTTTTTCTTGTTTGTACAGTATTCTTATCTTCTCTAAAGTTGGTTGTGGTGGATCTTCCGGTAGGAATGCTGTATGTCGATCAGATTGACTCGGTAGTCTACTTAACAATGATGCGCTAAAAATTTAATTTAATTTAATTAGAAAAAAAACACCATCATCATCAGAGAAAACATTCATGTTCTAATTTGACTAGTAAATCCACTAAATAATTCATTCATTTCGAAAACGATTACTGATAAAGTTGTGGTGATGTGATACAGACAGTGTGTTTTTCAACGGAATATTATTCTCACAGTAAGGATCATTGTATATGTTGGTGTTAACGTCTGAATACTATTCCGACAGTTCAATACTACATTAGCAACAGGATACAAAATATATATGTATTTGAGCATTCTATTTCATGTTGTGTAATGTAAACCAAAATCACACGCTCAGTGATTGTTTAAAGAATATAAACTTTATAGATATAAATAGTTGTGTGATCACTTGAAAATATACCTTGGCTTCTGTGTCTCTTGCCTTCTGCTGTTACAAAGTAAGCAACCCGAAGTAGCACAAATAAAATATTGAATTCCAAGGATTAAAACAAATGTCGTTGTGTGCAACGCTAAGGCGTGTGAGTACATTTCAAGCTATTATTTTGTTACCCCGCCCCGCCCCGCCCCAGTCTAATTACCTCGTTTTAAAATCGGCTGTTGAAATGAATCAAAATCAAAAGCCAGTTAAAATAGCCTATGTACTACCAAGTGGACAGTAATCCCGAAATACGACAAGGCTATTTAATTCCTTTTATTAGTCAAACTTAATAACTACTCATTTACTGTAGATCAACACCAAGACAACTAAGTTATTGATAAAACTGACAGTGATGTCATTCAGCAATTAGAGGCAGTTGCCAGTGTGTCACCGAAAGTTTGATCTGAAAAACATTTTGCTCAATCTCTTTTCTTAATCCGGATGAAAACTACGACTCAAATGATGCTCAAAACCCACCGGAAACAACATATATATAAGATCAAATAAAGTTGATATTATCAAAGTAGTCATCATGCAAAACTTTCTTAATATGATAAAGCGATAAACAGATAATTTTAAAATGAATATGAATGAAACAGTCTGTAAAAGAAGTTTTAAACAGGGTTATATCTAATAGTCACTTCAAACTCACAAATTTAACCAAAAATAAATAGTTGTACGACGAAAACTTTAGTTATTGTCCAGTATTAATGCTGAGATGACTGAAACTGGTAATTGAGATTTGCATTGAACACACTTTTATCAATGATATTAGATAGTTGGAGGTAATCGGAAGAAAGCCTTGCTTGACCTAGGTTTCGGGCTAGTTGGCACTCACCAGTCAGCAAGGTGTATCTGCAACCCTGAAGGAATTCATGTCTCTTCTGAAATTCGAACCCGCGCCACCCAGTGAGGCTGCAGTCAGAGACGAAAGGACTAGACACGTCACACTAGTTACTAGTGTCCAATCAAAATACTAACTGCAGTCCTACAGAAGGTCAATCGACAGCCACTCCGAATAGCTCAGTGGTAACGCCTCTGACTGCAGCCTCACTGGGTGACGTGGGTTCGAATCTCAGAAGAGACATGAGTTCCTTCAGGGTTGCAGATACACCTTGCTGACTGGTGAGTGCCAACTAGCCCGAAACCTAGGTCAAGCAAGGCTTTCTTCCGATTACCTCCGACTATCTAATATCATAAAGTCAATGTGTACCGTGATGGCCAGCTACCTACAATGGTAGCCACATTGCAAACCTGACTGATACAATTCAGTCTGCAGCAAAGGTACGACTAGACACATCACACTAGTTAACTGATTAGTGTCCAATCAAAAACACTTTCATCAATCTTGATAACAGTAAATAAAGTGGAACACACAACTCAGTACAAAGATAGTTCTGGGCAATCAATCAAAATGATGGTTTATTTTCTTCTATAGCTTAATTTTTATAAACAGCTGAAAACTTATTACGGTTGTTTACTGTAATGGTGTGTACACCTGTTGAGCTGTCTATATACAAATGGTATTAAAATATGTCCGTGATATTAAGGCAAGTAGATAAGGGAAATTATTTAACAGGCGTTATTCATAAGCATAAGATTGTTTTTGTCAAAACTTATATGTTTTAAAGTAGAATAGAAATGATTTAACACAATTTGTAACTTATCAGACTGTAACAGTAGTGAGTCTTTTCCCTGTAGTGTTGCTGGTATTTTCTTATTTTACTGTTAACCTATTTATCAGAAAACGGACTTATGTATTAATCACGACGGTAACTGTTCCTAGAAAGTAACTTTATGAAGAGCTGTATTCTCGCGTATCACCTAACTCTAAGGAAAGGTCATACACTGTCTTCTCAATCTTATATTCTATATATTCTCAGCAGCATATATATATGTACATGTCAGAGTACTCTGAGTATTCAGTGACTATTTTCCCGTTCGATAAGGCGCTAAAGATCTAAAACCAAGTTTTATGCCTTAATTTTATATATAACACTCCGCAGAAAATAAGTTTCTTAAAGAAACAAAATTCATAAAAATGCATAAAGAATTTTTTGGTAAACCATAAGATTCAACGCTTTTAAAAAAAGCGATTTCATCAAATGACTAGATGTAGTGTCTTTAAAACAATTATTAGTTGTTATCGCCGTGGTAACTTAAGCTTGCGAATTCTATTTTGTTTCTAATCGTTTTACTTTTATTATTCCAAAAAGTGTTCTCATGATACTCTTGTCGTCCGCCTTCCTTACCCTTGTAGGAGATAATACCCCTAAAAATCCACTAGCACATAAGATCGAGCGTTATGTCTCCTGTTCAAATATTGCATGTTCTGAAAAACTAAATTCAGATACATGAAGAAAGTCCAAACAATAGAACAAGAAGTTTAAAATGTAACTTATCATGATTTGGAACTCACGAGTGTGACTTTGATCCATAACGCTTAGATTTTAAATAATTGCGTTCTATCTTCTTGTATAATTTTGACTTTTGTGTCGTTCGATAACATGATGGAACAACATCTTTACGTTCAGAATTATCATTTGGACTTTTATCCGAACTAAGCATGCTTTCTATAGCTTCTGAGAAGTTTAGATGATTGAATTTTCGGAGCTGTTTTGTAGAATCCTCCAAATTAACAGAATTATTAAGTGAACCTTCCTTTTCTAGTATATTACTTTCAAATAAATGCACAGAACTAGGTCTGTCTGGACGCAACTGACCCAAATAATCCTCTTGTGGTCTTACAGGACTAAGTGAAGCCGTGCAATTTGTCGAATGAATCGAATCCTTCTCTTGAAGATTTATTTCATTCGTTGATTTTGTTAGAGCTGAGATCTCCAAGTCTGTGGTTTCGCCATCACTGCAGTGTGGTTGTTTACTGGGTGTAGAACCGTTATCATTTTTCGGCTTTTCTTCAGTTTTTTCTGAACTGTGCTTGCATAAACTGAAATCTGAAGTATATCATATATTAAATTAGATGATTTTCACGTGAAAACTTAATTAATTAAATCTATACCCTTACTGAAATATGGCTAAAGGGAGGTGTAGAAGTACTGTCCAACCATGAGTACAAACATACTTTAAACAAACCAAGATTGAACCAAGCTTTTTGCTTGCGCTTCTCTATAAACAGGTGCTCTCTAAACAGATGTCAAATACGTAGGTTCCTTTAGAAAATCACAAAATGTGATAAACTTGACATTAAGAAGAGAGTTATGAGGGTGACAGCCATGTATTATATGCTATTGGTTAATGCGATGAATGAGTAACAACTTGCACAAATGTACACTGATCACCATGAAATCTAGTTCTGAACTGTTCAGTCTGCAGGTGTTTCATTTGATTACGTTTGTTTTATTTATTTTATTCAATCTATCTAAGGGTGAAGAAATGAATAGTATGCACTTTACCAGGTCTTAAACCTATCTGATTTTCTTGTGTTTTCTTAGCCTCAGCCCAATTTTTTTTACTTATGAACCTATAGTCAAAATTCAGGGTTAGTGAATATGACGGCCTAAACCTCATCTGATTATCACAGAAACTATATACATCAATCTGATGAAACTCTCAATAATTTTCACATAATGGCAAATATCCTAGAATAAAAACAGCCTATTCAAACTTAGCCTGATTCTATATCCCATTCAGCTTGAAGTTGAATAGTGTGAAATTGTAGTGCGATTATAGACCATTTTAACTGCTCCTCGAAATGGTCTAAATAACATCCTTCCCATCTCTCCCGAAAAAGTACAGCAGTTCCAACCAACTCTGAGTTCATTTAGCTTGCCATAACTCTTGTAGAACCCGCTTCCTCTATGATGTGTATTATCCATTATTGATACTTTTTCCTTTTCCTTACTTCTTGTTCTCCTTCTTTTTTGTTCCTTTACGTTCCCAGTGGAATATGAGGCTTCAAGCTGGAGCTTTGAAGTTTTGGTAGCAGTGGGTTTAGTTTTTACGGGGTGGGATTGCTTGTCTCACGCCCAACCTTCCCTCTTTGCCAGGCTTATTACCAGCAAAGCAAGGTTTGTGAGTGCGTCAATTTATATCTGAGTAGTATTTGCTCCATTCCAATTATAGAGCCCACAAAAGTAAGTTTCCATGCGCAGTCAACTATGATGAGCCACAAAGGATCACTGATATTTTCTAAGTTCCGACTGCATGTTGTAAACTGTTCCTACTACTGCTTCTACTAAAGACTCCATATGATGCTAGGCTTTCTCAAGATAATGATTATTATCACTGTTAGATACTTGTTTAGGTGTATTCACCCTAAATACACACCTAATGGTGTCGTCGGAACGATGAACAGATAAAGATTTCAAGGCTGGTTTTCTTCAGTGTTCACTTTTAATTCATAGACAAACGCGCGGATGGAATAATACGTTACTAGCATCTATGTAGATGACCACTCGCCTGCAAAACTGCTGATTCCTACAAGTAGCCTACAAATAATAATAACAGCTGTTTAATCTCAGACAAACCAGGATACATGGATTTATAAATCGGAAGCTTCTTGTGTCACAGCATGAGAAAATTCTACTTGAAATTCTAAAGTACTGAGAACGACTCTTGGATAGTTTTTAGAACTTGTCAAAAAATGCCAGTGAATAAACCCTCAGACTTTTCAGCACCTTGAATAACAAACAAGGTTTAATTTGAAAGTTAATATTACCTATGTATGTGCTTATAAAGCTATTCTCAGAATAAGTCATCACCATTTAAATATAACTAGAAGCACCTGAATACTCCATATAAAGTCTTAGCTTCGTCAAAACCGCACCAAAATGATCATTATTTTATTACAGAAACTGTACGCTGCCGTTTTACTCAGCATTCTTCTTGTATACGTTTCTACGTCATCTCAATGTCATACAACTCTTGCAAATAAGGAAGAATGCTCCAATTGTTAGGTACAAGATAACACAGATGCTGCTTACAATTTATTTTGAAATATTAAAACCAGTAAAACATAATAACATACTAATCGTTGCATTCTAACGGTTGAAAGTCGTGCTTTAAATCAAGTTTGAAATTTCACGAAGGAGTTTGTTGACTGGCACCAAATAACAGACTAGAGAACTGTAAATAATGAAAGATCTAATATGTGAATACCATCCTCTAACAGTATGTCAAGATTTTGTCATATATATGCCACTGACAGTTAAACTGACCCCAACCCAGAGATAGTTAACGGAACTCATTGTCTCATAATTGATAAACAATTTCAAAACACAAAACGGTACACTCGTGTAGGCTTTGAGAATGTGAAGCATAAATAAGCGGCTCGTCTGAAACAATTATTGGAAATTTTACATAAGCAGCTAATTCAAAGACCACACAACACTTAGTAAGAAGATGGAACTTTAAATATTAACTTACGATGGCACAACAAACACAATGCTTTTCAAAGTGCCTACCTTTGTTTACAGCTATAGCGGCCAGAGCAAGGTAGCAGTCATGCAAGTATTTCAAAACATACTTCGGACCTTTAACTAAGACATCCGCTGGTGGAAACTCGATCGGATTGTTTCTGTGATGCAACACCGACAGTTTCTCTAAAAACCCTGTGTTTATGCATATATACCATAAAAAATATGAATGAACTACCAAGCTCGACGGGAAGAATTGTAATTTTGTTATTATCTAAAAGCAAAGTTTGCAGATTTTTAAGGTATTTGATTTCTGGTGGAATATTTTCAATACAATTGTCACGTAAGTCCAGCCAACGAAGATGACTTAGGGATTTCAATATTTCTGGTGTTAGTGCTTCCAGGCAGTTATTTGAAAGGTAAAGCTTCTAAACTGGTTATTAGACCCTATCTCCTGACATATACCTGAAGGTTCGATATATTCAGTATCTGGCATGGAATTTCCTTTAGCTTTGAGCTACTCAAATCCAAATATGCAGATGACTTGGCCGATGCCTCTGATATTTTTTCTAGTACATCATTTCTCGTACTTTCCACTACTTCATCACACTTCTCAGATATTGATAAGCCGGTTTCCATTTAATCAAGTTGGCATACTAACTGAATTTTCAAATTAGTTCACGCGTGGGAACCATAGAGTTCAAGTGTGTAGTTGAAATAATAAAAATGACCTTTACATGAAGTCAGTTTTTGTCTGATAATACCTCATGATAAATAACCTATTTTTAATGATAGTGTTGCTGTGACTTTTATTTTAATCCCAGCTCGACCAAACGTTTGGAAAGCTGACATAAATGCGATCGTCTCAGCAGCCAACTCAGTAAACTGGTACATCAATCCAGAGTCCCAAGTAGAAGCCGCATGGAACCAATTTAAGCAACTTTACGCCCAAGTAACTGTACCCTTCATCCCTTGGTCTGTTCCAAAGGGTCGGAAACATTCCCCCCCTTGGATAAACCGGGAGATTCGTAAGTTACTCAGACGTAAACGCAAATGTTGGAACCTGTTTGCAACACTTGAGACTTCTGAGACCAGGGAATTATATACTACTGCTAGAAATAAAGCTATCGCAGAAATCCGCCAATCAAGGATGAAGTTCGAGACACACCTGGCCCAAAATGCAAAGGCACAACCTAAGAAAATTTTCTCGTACTTGAATTTCAGGAATAAAACACCCAATGGTGTCCCAAACCTGATTATTGACAAAGATACAATCGAAGAAGATCAAGAAAAAGCAGAAGCAATGGCAAACTACTTCTCCCAAGTCTTCACTCAGGAGTCATCACTGCCTATAGGATCAGCTCTGGCTGCATCAGAAGAACATGGGATAGATTCCGTTGACATCGACCAAGGCATCGTGCTCAACTTCTTAATGAAACTAGATGCAGGAAAATCAATGGGTCCTGACAGTCTTCATCCAAGGCTTCTCAAGGAGCTATCAGCCCACATAGCCGGCCCCTTGACCACGATCTTCAAGCTATCTCTCCAAAATGGAGTGTTGCCACGTGATTGGAAAGACGCCATAGTAACTCCCATACACAAAGGAGGATCAAGACAAAGCCCTTCAAATTACAGGCCTATCAGTCTCACCAGCACTTTAATCAAGACACTGGAAAGAATTATCAAGAAAAGCATCATGGCTTATCTGGAAAATAGCAGCTTGTTATCTGGAGCACAGCATGGCTTCCGGAGGAACCTCTCATGCCTGTCAAATCTCCTGACTGCAAGAGAAAGCTGGGTTAAATCAAAGGATGACAGAAGACCCGTTGACGTCGTCTTCATAGACTTCAGTAAAGCCTTTGATAAAGTACCTCACAAAAGACTACTCATGAAATTGGAAAGTCTTGGTATCAAAGGCAGACTACTAGACTGGCTCAGGGAATTCCTCATAGATAGGAGGCAGAGGGTTAGGATCAACTCAAAACTCTCCTCCTGGACAGCAGTAAGTAGCGGAGTGCCACAAGGCACGGTTCTCGGTCCTCTCCTTTTTATTCTGTATATCAATGAGTTACCTCTGCTGACCGACTCCCCTATGGTCCTATACGCAGATGACTTAAAAATTTGGAGGGAGCTGAAGGGCAACAGTGATACGTCCACCTTGCAAGACGACCTCAACAAACTGTCGGAGTGGTCTGTTGAATGGATGCTCCCGATCAACGTGGCAAAATGTGCAACCATGCGCATTGGACAAGCAAGCACGAGCTCCTACGAACTAGAGGGAATAACACTTCCATCAGTTCAGACTCACTTGGACTTAGGTGTCATAGTTAGCCACGACTTAAAAACTACAGCACACTGTCGCGCGGTGGCTGCACGTAGTTTCAGGTCCTTATGGGCGATTCGCAGAGCCTTTACAAGAATTACCAGAGATATGTTCACCTCCTTATACACATCTCTGGTTAGGTCAAGACTGGAAAACTGCATCCAGGCCGCCAGTCCGTGTCTAAAAGGGGATTCACACATTCTAGAAAGTGTTCAAAGGAAGGCAACACGTATGGTTCACGGCATAGCTAACTTATCATATGAGGAAAGACTAGATAGTTTAAATCTCTTCTCACTGTCATACCGTAGGCAGAGAGGAGATTTAATCACAATGTTTAAAATTTTAAATAATGACTACGGACCTGACCTATTCTCTCTTTTCCTTCCCACCAGGTCGGAACACCTTAGAGGACATAGCAGGAGAGTTCAAAAGCCAAGGAGAAATCATATTGCTGTTGAGTACTGGTTCTCACATCGAGTCATAAACTCTTGGAACCGACTCCCAGAAGAAGTGGTGTCTGCAACCTCAATTGATTCGTTCAAGAAGGGTTTGGACAACCACAGAAATCTACTAGAAAAGGATTAACATAGGCTGCAAGCCTTCTATCCTCAAACAATAAATCTGAAAATCTGAATCTGAATATCACAAATACTACTGTAAATGTGGCATTGGTTACAGGGTAGCTACTAGGTAGTCAGTTGGTAAGTAAGTTACATAAACAGATGATATACGCTCATGTTCTCTCTATAACTCTATGTCAAAACAGTCCGAATAAGTTGAAGAATGAAACTAAGGTTCAAATTTCATGCATGTACTCGTGGATATTGTGCATACTATGTGATCTGATAAGCGACAGTGATTTTCGCGTTTCGTCTTTTCGAGTGAGGAAGAATGCTTATAATTTTCGTATGACATGGTATCTATTTCACATGAAGTGAGCCGTATACCCCGGCATTATATTGGTTGCAAATTATCGACGCTTCCTAGAGAATGGTTGTTTCATTTCCCAGTGCTACTTCATTGCATACCAGCATTTATCCTGCACGAAGCTTGGCTTAGTTAAGAAATGTAGCCTAGAAAATAAATCACAGTAATTTTGCTGAAACGTCTTGTTCGTGAGTTTCCGTTATGGACAGGAACAATAACTGGAAATGTGATAGTGGTTACTAGGTCTCAAGAGTTCACAGAAGCAGTAATCTTTGAACTACCAGAGTAATTAACAATTCCTTATATCAGTTAGAGAAGCATTGAAAACCAGGGAGTACTGGACAACTGTTTCATCCTAGTTTGGGAATCATCGGCAGTACGCACCCACTGGGATTCAAACCCAGTACTCCCTGGTTTTCAATGCTTCTCGAACTGATGTCAATCCGTGATCAACTCGTTAAAAATATAACTAACCCTTACGAACCAAACTATAGAAAAATTCCTTATATGACAATCTAGTGGGTAAGATTTATTTGTCTTTTACATTTTAATTCCGGTACATTTGTCGTCGATTAAAAAGATTTGGTTATTTTCTTTTGGAATTACAGTCATACTTTGGAAATCTTCCTACAGGGGTACTTTCTGTATGTTTTCTCCCTCAGTTTTATTGCTGTAATATTAGCATGGTTTGGACAGCATTCACACTTTTTTGTCTACTTAGAAATGTTTTTTCTCGAGTAAAAGTGAATGATGATATCGTGAGGCACATGAAGTTGAATGTGACGAAACAAAGTGTATTCGTGGTTGAAGGGAACAAAGTTTTCCCGATGAATTGTTGTGAGGCGTGTGTAACCCCGTCTAGGTTAAATTAATCCATGACAGATGGAAATTACGCCTTTAAGAGCTCTGGCCACATTAAGCTTAACCAACTGGTAGTCAACTTATATATTTTTTCCCTTAAACGGCCTGACCCCTGCTACCATAACATCAAAATGTCACTCAGAATTATTGTGTGACTTATACCTTCGATAACTCCAGACTGTGTTTCTTTAGATGAGGTACAAGAGAAACTTAAAGTGATCCAATAAATTATGCCAAAAATGTAATAACATGTCATATGGAAAATGAGCAATGAGTTAGTGCAAAGGTATAAAGTGAAAATCAAATGTTTTCATCCAATAAAATAAAATATTTGTGTGGTGATTGACAATTTCTATCTCTGTATTGTTTAAATACTTACTGTTGACTGTTGATATGTTTCATATATGAATTGCAGAATAATTCCGATAAATACAAATTCCTGAGTTCTACCCTCTCTGTGTTTTGTTTAGATTCGTGTAATTCGGTCATCTCGAAATACTTATATTCCGATTACAATAAATTACTACAATTTGGATACAATTGGGCAACCAAAAACGGTTGCCATTAGCCATATTTCAGGAGACAACCCTTCTACAAATAGACATGGCCAAACTGTGGATTTCGTGGTAGCTGGAGCTTCTGACAAATTGATGAAAGAAGGCTGCGCATGAAGTTGGAAAGTCTTGGTATCGAGGGCTGCTTAATAAAGGGGAATTCCTTATGGATAGGAGGCAGAGAGTCAGGATCACCTTGAAACTCTTCTCCCGGACAGCAGTGCATAGCGAAGTGCCACAAGACACGGTACTCGGACCTCTCCTATTTATTTTGTATATCAGTGAGTTATCTCTGCTCACCGATTCCCCTATGGTCGTATACGTAGACTTAAAAGTTTGGAGAGAGAAAGACAGAGATGAGGGGGACACCGATATGCTTACGTTGCAAAAACACCTCAAAAAATTGTCAGGGTGGTCAAGAAAATAGATGCCCCTGATCAAAGTAGAAAAATATGCAGTCATGCCCATTGGACACGCAAGTACTAGCTTCTACAAACCAGAGGGAATAACACTCCCATCGGTTCAGATTCATTTGGATTTAGGTGTCACATTAAGTCATGACTTAAAAACTGCAGCACACTGTCGCGCGGTGGCGATCCGCACAGCCTTTACTAGAATCACCAGAGATGTGTTCACCTTTTTAAGTACATCTCTAGTGGGGTCAAGACCGGAAAACGTATCCAGGCAGCCATCCACTCCCTGTCTTAAGGGGAACTCACACGTTCTGGAAAGAGTTCAAAGGGAGGCAACACGTATGGTTCTCGGCATGACTAACTTGTCATACGAGGAAGACTAGATCGTTTAAATCTCTTCTCTCTATTATGCCGCAGACAGAGAGGAGATTTAATTGCAATGTTTAAAACTTTAAATGATGACTAGGAACCTGATCTGTTCGCCATTTCCCTTCCCACTAGGTCAGACCACTTAGCCCGCGCGATTCTTATCGGGCATTACAATCTCTCCCCCTAACGTGG